AAATCTCCTCTCCTCTAGCAAACTCAAGCCCCTGTACTCATGACAAGGCTATATGGCATAGAGATAGTGCTAGGAAAGCCCAAATGGCCAAGCGGAAGTAAAGAAAAGTCAGGAAAACACCTTGAAAACACAAAGAAGATGATTTTCACCTCTCGAGGTGTGAAAGTTCCACATAACCTATTTTCAAGCACAAAGAATCGAGCAAGAAAATCATCTTCCTTAGGACATTGTGAAGTCCTAATGAAAATCATGAGTTGAAAATCACACGGCCTATTTCCACGCAGATTGGGAGGAGAAGAACAAGTTAAGCATGAATTTGATCTCTTGATTACAATGAATGATTACAAGTCACTCCTAGTAGATCTCAAAACTTAAATGACGAAAAGCTCAATCAAAGATCCACTCGTCTCTCCCTCTCTTCCTAGCCCTAAACTAAAGGCTCATCAACCTAACAAATGAGAGTCTAATACCTAAGGCTTCCAAAGACTTAGTCTCCACAACTAGCTATCTGAAAGCTCTAGTTTGGTTTTGGTGAATTGATGAAACCCTAAGTGCTAACCTAGTTTATCAAATGATCATGAGATAGGTAGCACACTCCAAGTGGTGAAGCAAATGAAGATCATAGCATGATAAAGATGATGGCATGGTGATGATCAAGTGCTTCGACTTGGAAAGAAGAAAGAGTAAAACAAAAAGCTCAAGGCAAAGGTATAATTGTAAGAGCTATTTTGTTTTGGTGATCGAGACACTTAGAGAGTGTGATCATATTTAGGATTGATAGCCGTACTATTAAGAGGGGTGAAACTCGTATCGGAATGCGGTTATCAAAGTGCCACTAGATGCTCTAATTCATTGCATATGCATTTAGGATCTAGTGGAGAACTAGCACCCTTGAAAATGTTTGTGAAAATACGCTAACACATGTGCACAAGGTGTTACACTTGGTGGTTGGCACATTTGATCAAGGATGAAGAAGTTAGAGATGAAATGGAGTTGGTCGCAAAGGCGCTGGCGTTGGTCTACTGACCGGACGCTGGGTCGCTCAGCGACCGGACGCTGAAGTGGTGCGTCCGGTCGAGTTGTCAGAATGCACAGTGCTTAGGGTTAAGCACCGGACGCTGGGCTGTGTCCGGTCAAGCATGACCGGACGCGTCCGGTCGGCAAAAGTCGGTTTTGGAACCTTACTGTAAACGACCGGACGCTGGGGGTTCAGTGTCCGGTCAACTTCAGCGCAGTGTCCGGTCAAGGCAGATGACCGTTGAAATCGGTACACGTGGCTAACAGCGAGCGACCGGACGCTGGGGGCTCGGCGTCCGGTCACCCCGCGTTTTACCCAGTGAAGGGGTACAACGACTCTATTTCATGGGGGCTTCTATTTAAACCCCATGGCCGGCTCAAGCTCACCCTCTTGGCTATTTGCATTGACATAGCAACCTTGTGAGCTTAGCCAAAGCCCTCCCACTCATTTCCATCATAGATTAAACATCTTTGTGAGATTGGGAGTGATCCAAGTGGATTGCTTGAGTGATTGCATCTAGAGGCACTTGGTGTTCGTGTTTCGCTGCGGGATTCGCTTGTTACTCTTGGTGGTTGCCGCCACCTAGACGGCTTGGAGCAGCGAGGATCGTTGAGCGGAGGGTGGTGATTGTCTCCGGCTCCGATCGTGGTGATTGTGAGGGGTTCTTGACCTTTCTCCAGCGGAGCACCAAAAGGTACTCTAGTGGATTGCTCGTGGCTTGTGTGATCCTCATCTTGTGTTGGTTGTGCGGCACCCTATTGAGGGTTTGGCGTGTGATGCCAATTAGCGCGTGAAGCTCCAAGTGAGTGAATCGCCACAACGAGGTCTAGCTTGCCGGCAAGCAAGTGAACCTCGGTAAAAAATCATTGTGTTCATCATTGATTCCGAGGTGATTGGTCTTCATTATTATCCACACTTGTGATTGATTGGTTCATACATCTACACGGTGGTATAACCTTCTTGCCTACTCATTACATTACCGCAAACTAGTTGTCAAGCTCTTTAGTGTAACTAGTTGTGAGAGCTTGCTAGTTTGGTTAGTGTGGCTCTTTAGTTAGCTTTTGAGAGCACACTAAATTAGTGTAGTGATATAGCTATTGTGTGGATATACTTTATCTAAACTAGAATTGTGATAGGTAGCTTGCATTTTTGTAGGCTAGCGCAAAACTCGCTTCGCCTCATAATTGTCTAATCCTTTTGTTAAGTGTTGTTGTAGAAATTTTAATAGTCTATTCACCCCCCCTCTAGCCATTAGGACCTTTCACCATCTCTCATATATGTCCCCCAAGTTGCCCTTACATGAAGCACTTAGCCCAGATACCCATTAGGGGTAATTAAAACCATCCAAGTTTCACTTCATCGACCCGACGAGCCCAACGCCTTCTCTACTTTGCTTGGTGTCGATGCAAGCTTCGAGATGCCACCACGTGTCCACCGATCCACCACTCCATGAATTTGAGGCCCAAACTAGTTAAACCCATCGTTGATGATTTTGAGACTGAAACCACCAAACCATTCACTCCTGTTTTTGAGGCCCAAACCAGCAAACCTCCTCCTGATGGCTTTGAGGCCCAAGCCACCAAACCACCCATCCGTGGTGAAAGCATCTAGGCCCCTAGTTGAGTTTCGGTGATTAATGACAATACGAGATTACTATGACTAACGTGTGTTTTACAGATGCAATTAAGTTAGGTCATGGTAATGGCAATTGATTGGGCAATCATGGTTGTCATGCCCCTACGATGGAAATCGTTTCGGTTTTCAAAGGATGGACAACAAGGTTAAGGATGAACTAGTTCTAAGTGTCGTTTGGAGTTGAAGAGACACTTAGAGTAGTTTAGGTCTTTGTTTTTCCTTTGGTCGTACTATTAAGGGCGGTATGGACGGGTAGCTTGACCTAGGTGAGTCTAGTGGGTTATGTGTGGTGTACACTTATCAAATCTAGTACTAGTTAGCTCCAAAATAGTCCTTAGATCAATTGGAGCAAACTTCGTTCACATATGATTGCGAGTTGGAAGTGAATGGAGGGTCAAATGTTGACCGGACGCTGGTTCTGGTGTGACCGGACGCTGGCGCAGAGTCCGGTCAGTTCATTTGATCAAGGTGAAGTCGTCTGGATGCGACCGGACACTGAGTGAAATGTGACCGGACGCTGGGTGCCAGAGTCTGGTCAACTCCAGTAAGGTTCCAGAGAGGGAGAATCCTGATCGGACGGGTCCGGTCAGTGCTGACCGGACGCTGGCCAGGTTCCGGCTGCTGACCGGACGCTGAGCAGCAAAGTGACCGGAAGCTGGGTTCTAGAGTCCGGTCAACATCAGTAAGGTTGCAGAGAGCAGTTTTTATGACCGGACGCTGGCCAGAGTCCGGTCACAACTTAACTGCTTGGTTGCGGGGAGAACTGACCGGAGCATCCGGTCACCTTGACCGGAGCGTCCGGTCACCCCACAGTGGCACATAACGGTTCGTTTTAAATGAGGGATTATAAATACTTTATCTATTCACTCAAGAGATCACTTTTGCTCATTCCAACAGCTGAGAAACACCCTTGAGAGTGTCAAGAAGAGCAAGGTACTAGTAAGGTGATTGAGATATGAGAATCTAAGAGAGAGGCCTCATTAGTGAAAGTAAGAGTAGCAAAGTGTGCATCCACCCTTCTCATTAGGCTTGTCGTGGTCAAGTGGGAGTTCGTGCTTGTTACTCTTGATGATCGCCATCACCTAGACGGCTTGGTGGTGATTGGGAGCTTGGTGATTATCCGGCGGAGCTTGTGGATGACCCAACTCACATTGTGAGCGGTTGTGGGTGATTCACCGCGACGGAGTGTTGAAGAATCAACCCGTAGAGAGCACTTGATCCTTGCGCGGATCAAGGGGGAGCTACACCCTTGCGCGGGTGCTCCAACGAGGACTAGTGAGGAGTGACGACCCTCCGATAGCTCGGTAAAATATCTCCGCGTTTCTCATTCTCTCTTTACTTTAAGCATTTATTTTGAGCAATTCAATTCTTGTATTTACATTCATAGAATTGCCATGCTAAAGTAGGATTGAAATATAGATTGCTAAACTTTTGTGCTTTAGAACGATAGAAACACTTTTTAGGCACAAGGGGTGAAGTGGGCTAATCGTAGGGTTTAATTATTGCAAAGAATTTTAGAATTAGTCCAATTCACCATCTCTTTTGGACATCTTAATCTTTTCACGCGATTTTGAGGACCAAACCGATAAACCCTCGTGCACACCTACCTCGCCAAGCATGACTAACTGATGTCGATGCGTCTCTGACTTCCATGTCGTCGGCCCAACGGCGGTCCACCAAGTGCCCGCGACCCAACTTGGCACTAACACCTAACACATACAATATATATCATTGGTTGGCGGTTGCTTTTTGTTTAGGTAGCTGCTACTTAATACTGGTGACGTCGACGCGCGCAGAGAGCACTAGAGATTTGATCCCGGAAACATGCACTCCCTACTAATTTTTAAGCCATACTGAAATTAATTGCATCAATGGATATGCACATAGTGCAGGTGCACTAGTGTTGCATTGAGCACAATCAACATGATGATAAGTAAAACAATGATAAACCTTGGATTCGCACGTACACATGCAGAAGCGCCAAGCAGCCACCGCACCACTCACTCTCGTTTGCTCGCTCTCTCACTCTCTCTCGTCGTGTATAAATAGCACAATTCTGGTCGATCGCTTCATACACAACAATACAAATAAATCAAAACGCAACGGTCCATAGAAACTAAGCACAGAAATATAGCGCCAACAAATTAAATGGGTCCTTTGCACGTCCCTAGCAGTAGTAGTCCTCGCAAGTTTTACCACTTTGTGCTCTTCCATGTGCACCCGTTCTGGGTCCACCTCTTGTACTTCCTTTCCATCTCCGTCTTGGGTTTCTTGATGCTGACAGTCTCCTAGGCCCTCGGCTCTCGACCTGGTCTTCACGTCCGTGTCAGCGACGACAGTCTCCAGCATGGTCGCCGTCGAGATGGAATCCTTCTCCAACTCCCAGCTCCTCCTCATGACCCTCCTGATGCTCCTCGGAGGCGAGGTGTTCACAAGCATGCTTGGTCTCCACTTCACCTGCACCAAGCTCATCAAGAAGAGAGAGACACCTCATCGTAATAATAGTCTCAATGGTAATATTAATGGGCCGCCACCGGCATCTAGTAGCTTAGAGCACAGTCGCCGTCGCCGTCCCATGGAGATGGAAGCCCAGGCCGCCGCCGTCCAAATGGAGCTAGCAGGGTTCAACAAGGATTTCGCATCCATGGCTAGGCTGCTAATGTGCATCGTGCTGGGCTACCTCTTGGTGGTGCACCTCGCCGGCTACACGCTCATACTAATCTACCTCAGCGTGGTCGGCAGCGCGAGAGCAGTGCTGGTTGGCAAGAGGATCAGCCTGAGAACCTTCTCCGCCTTCACGGTCGTCTCGACGTTCGCAAACTGTGGGTTCGTGCCAACGAACGAGGGGATGGTGTCCTTCAAGTCCTTCCCGGGCATGCTCCTCCTCGTCATGCCGCACATCCTCCTCGGGAACACGCTCTTCCCCGTCTTCCTCAGGCTCTCCATTACAGCGCTCGAGAGGGTCACCAGGAGGCGAGACATCCGCGAGCTGCTGAAGGACGGAGGACCCGGCGGCGGCGGACCAGCTGCCGCCGCTATAGGCTACGACCACCTGCTGCCTGGAGCCCGCACATGGTTCCTGGCTCTCACCGTGGCGGTGTTCCTGGCGGTGCAGCTGCTGCTCTACTGCGCCATGGAGTGGGGCTCCGATGGGCTTCGTGGGCTCACCGCGTTCCAGAAGCTCGTTGCGGCGCTCTTCATGTCCGTCAACTCCAGGCACTCCGGCGAGATGGTCGTCGACCTCGCCACCGTGTCGTCCGCCATCGTCGTGCTCTATGTGCTCATGATGTAAGTAAAGTACGTACATAAATACATCGATCGATATTCGATATATAGAAGATCCAAGATCGTCGGTAGTGTTAATTAGGAAGTTTTGTGCACTACATTTATTTATTATATTATATTTATACATATGACATCAGGCACTGCTATCTAGTTCATGCATAGTTAGTTGCGCATGTGCTCATGGTCCACCAACACGTCCAAATATCGATTTGTTATAATATAGTTTGATCACGTTCCAACAATATGTATTGATATTACTACTAATACTAAATGATATAGCCTTACTTGAAACTTATCATCGTGTCATGCGTATGACTATATGATCATGACACATGATGTTTAAGCAGTGTTTTAAATAGCCAGCTATGGCATTTAGTTATCTATGTCCCAAAACAAGCTATAACAGGGTTATAGCGGCAGCTAAGAGCTAAATTGTACATGAGAAAACTTAGGTAAATCATTCTCAAACAGCTTTAGCCAGAGATTTAAAACCTTGTGTTTAAGCTAGCAAGCATACAAACTATTACTAGTTTTTTTTTCTTTAAATAATTTTACTCGGTTATGCTCATGCTTTACTTCCTCTGCAGGTATCTACCGCCTTACACCACATTTTTGCCCGTAGCGATGGAAGACCAGCAGCAGCAGCAAAATGAGGCACAACCCGACGACAAGAGCAAGAGCAGCAGCAGTATTAGCATCTGGCAGAAGCTGCTCATGTCGCCGCTCTCGTGCCTTACCATCTTCATCGTCGTCATCTGCATCACCGAGCGGCGGCAGATTGCTCACGACCCAATCAACTTCAGCGTCCTCAACATCGTCATCGAAGTCATCAGGTGTTTATTAATTAATCAATTAACTCCAAGCGCAATAGATGATCTCTTGCACTGCACTGGGCTCACAATGAAGCAATGCAACATGGTGATGCGTGCAGTGCGTATGGCAACGTGGGATTCAGCACCGGGGTACAGCTGCAGCAGGCAGGTGACGCCCGACGGCAGCTGCAGGGACGCGTGGGTTGGCTTCTCCGGCAAGTGGAGCAGGGAAGGGAAGCTCACGCTCATGGCCATCATGTTCTACGGCAGGCTCAAGAAGTTCAGCATGCATGGGGGTCAGGCATGGAAGCTGGGCTAAATCAAAGTACTGCTTCGAAACTCGATCTACTCGTTATATTGTTGTACATTTCTCTGTAGATACTAGCTAGATCAACCTGATCTCCAAGACTAGTACTGGAACTCAGATGGAATCAGATCATATGACAAATCCATCTGCGAGACGTTTGGCTGCATTATGTCTAACATAAGAAATGGATCACATCATGAGTCCACAGTAATCTTATACTCTTATAAAGCAAAACCCCACTACCATATTTCTCTGCGATTCCGTGAAGCCACGTCATCGAAGGGTCCACAAGTCACTAAAGCAATCCCATAGCGATCCACGTCATCACTTAGTTTGCACCATGCAATTCTTAGTCTCAGGCCAGTCTCAGTGGGGTTTCATCAGAATTTTATAGGCATTAAATAGGCTGATGTGGCACCGTATTGATGAAGAGAGAGATGATAAGAGTTTCATGAGAGTAGAGAGAGTTTCATGGGGATGAAACTCTTCTGCACTATTTTCAAAATATGGATACATTGATAACATGACTATGAAATCTCCATTGAGACTGGCCTATAAAGCAGCCATCTCTTCGACTCCCTCACTCAATGTCCACAACCGACGCATTACATGACGGACTGTGCACCAAACGAACAGCCAGACATTATTTCCACATCGATTCCTCTCCTACATCAATGCAAATACATGTGTAAGAACTTGAACCATCCGTTGCTACCTTCACGTTTAAATAGCTGTGTGTACGCATCTTCATTACCAGCTCCGGCTCTCTGTTTCCTGTCCTCTGATCTCCCTCTATCTAATCCACTTCCTCCACCCCACAACACCATCTGGCAGCCTTTAAATTTGAATAGGATAGTAAGAGAATGTTCTATCTGTTTCCTCCTCCCTCGATTCGATTCATCGATTACACGTGGACCCGTCTCCTTTGACAGCGGCGAGCTGCAGAAGCGCTCGAGACCTCGAGTCCATCCCGTCGGCACCATGCGGCTCCGTCTCCTTTGGCAGCGGCGAGCAGCAGGATCGCTCGAGTCCACCCGGCTACCCCCAACAGGTGCTAGCCCGCTACATCTCCACCACCTAGACCACAGACTCTGCGGGAGAAGAGGCAGTGAGAAGAGAGAAGGAGGCACCAGAAAAAGGAATGGATAGGCTCAGCTCATGGTTGTTTACTCTTCAATATACGGTTCTTTATTTTTATATAATATAATTTGTTCGGGACAAGAAGCAGTGAGAGAGAGAAGCAAGCACCAGAAAAAGGAACAGATCGATGAACTCATGGTTGTTTACTCTTCACTATACTGTACTTTATTTTTGTATATAATATAATTTGTTCTTTAGGTATAAGATCGTAATTATTTTTCCCATCATCTTTACATATGCGCTGTTTTCTATATTTTTTCATGATCGTTAGAATACCCGTCCCTATGAAATTTATATGTTTTCTATCTAATCTCTTGTTTTCTATATGCATTCCTATTATATTTCTATATTATTTTTCTGTTTCTGGGCTTTTTTACATCCCCACGTTCCAAAGGGTCCTTAGCTATAAATTCTTCCAAATTCATATAAATTTTTTTCTATAACGTCTCCATCCCCGCAGCAACGCACGGGTATTCTCTAGTTAGAACACAAACTTACCTTGTTTTCTTCCTCAAACTTGCAAACCTACGCTGCTTAACCACGTGCCTAGAAATTAGAAAACCATCTTATCTGGGCGAGGAAACAGGCAGGAGGCAGAAGAACACCAGAGATACAGGAGGAGGATGATGACAGGTCGCTCACGTCTCTGTTAACTTTGCCATTGATCTTGCCTCGTTCAGGGCCGGTCTGATACAGATATAGTCTCCAGCATAAACTCCCTCTCCCACGCACCCTTACATGCGTCTCTCTCATGAAAACACGCTCCGACTAGTATGCTTGGATTATGCCTTTTTCACAGGACTGGCAAGGTAGCAAAAAACCTGTTGCTTTTATCACAGATATGAGACAATTCAGCACTTTGCTCTTCGATTGTCGATTTGCTCTCACACGGTTTGGTCCAAAGTTGGATAAATTTGGTTTTGATCTAAACTTCTGTAATAATTGGTTTGATTCTTCTCTTGCACAAGAGATGAAGCCGGATATTTATTCCTTTATCTAAAAAAACCTCAGATGGTTTCTAGTCTACCTAAACCTGCACAAGAGCTCTCGATCTGGTGTATGCACTAGAGAATTTCATTGGAGCTTTGAGTTGAATCCAGTGAGGTCCCGATCCACTAGACAGTGCTCCGGATTTCTCTGAGTGATGTAACGGAAAAACCACCATAGAAAAGAAGCAATGGCCAGCAACAACTATTTGGGTAGTAGAGTGCGCCAGATTTCTCCGGTGCGGTCACTGAAGAATACCAATGCATCCTGCCAAGGCAACCCTTGTTTCCAACAGCTAGTTGAGTTCGTTGGGGCTATATATGCCTCCACAACTGGCCATTTAGAGGGTGTTAGAGCTTAAGGAAGCAATAGTTGAGTTGAGGCTCAACCATTTGTGCTCTAGCCGCCATATGCGCTTAAGAGAAGATTAGACGATTGCCTAAACTGCTAGGATTAGTGCTTAGGCTAGTTAGAGGTTTCTTTACCGCTTGTTCTAGATTTACACCTATTGTTTAGTGAGCTTTACATACCATCTTATTACTATCGGTGCTTGTGTACACCAAGTGTTGTACAATGTGACCCTCCAACCGAGTTTGCATTTAGAGTGGCCGCCGGTGGTGTACCAGGGACGTGAGGCCCACGACATTTTGGTTGAAGCTCATCAAGTGCAGACGACGGAGTGCGATCCGGGAATGACTTGGAGGAGACCCACTTGCACGTGGGGAAGGCCCGTGAGCTATCCACAGAATTACCCAACCAGGAGCTTGGCCCTTGCAAGAGCATCCGTATAAGGGGCTCCAACGAGAACTAGTGAAAAGCAAAAGCTTTCCGATACTTAGATAAAAACATCATCGTGTGGGAGTTTGCATTCTCTAACTCATTTATGTTACCGCATTTACTTGTTGGATTCCTTGGTGTGTGTGCTTTAGCTTGCAAGGATGATTGATAGGGTGGGAATCTAGGGTACAAAACTCCTTTCGTTAGAGACATGAGAACTTAGAAAAAACCTAATACACTTCTAGATAGAACCTGTGTAGGTTTATGTAAATGGTGTTTGGGCCTTAGTTTTTAGTGTTAGAATTCAACCCATTTGTAATAGAACCGTCCAATTTATAAGAGCACAAGTACAATGGTAGCCCACAAGCGGTCGCACTATCATACTTGAGCCCATATAAACTCGGTAGTCCGTCGAGTATCACGAAGGGTCTCGATTCATCGCCAACATACAACTAAAATCGTACATGATTCAACATACATGCCACATGTTACATAGGGTTCACAAATACATTGCCATACATCAGAGTGCGATTACAGTTATTAGAACCCAAGTTCCAAATAAAGTAGCAGTAGCGAAAGCAAAGTAATTTTAAAACCAACATCTCACACTATTGTTTAATACAAGCCAGTTCGTGCATCACCGCTAAGATATATAAGTAGAAGCACTTTGTCTAGGGCCTACTCTTCGTCCACAGCGGGACAGAAGCAATTCTTATAGTAGCCGTGATACACAGTATTATCTGCAACAAGTGGGAAATAAACCCTGAGTACAAGAAGGTACTCAACTAGACTTACCCGTCATAAACCAAAAATAAAGAGGCTCCAAGGATCATGCAAGGCTTTATAAGTAGAGCTAGCTTGATAACATTTTGCATAAAAAGCCACTAATTTAGTTATATATTTTATAATTCGTTCATCAAGTTAATTATAGCTATTCATCTCTAGATTAGCAACTAACCTGTGCCAAACATGTTGTGTACAATTAAGTCATCACAATAGTAACCATATCCGGTGTAGCATTTTCATATTCCTTATAACCATCACATTCCATCAATTACTACGAGGAAGGAAGTTCTGTCAAGTTCTCACTATTCAGAAGAGACGGCGATTCGAATCGATTTCAACTAGCTGGGAATTTATTCCTAACACAAACCCAGGCAGACCAGATCAACGGTCACCTTAGGTCACCTTTGGTACAACTCAGGTCCAATTCGAGGTTTGATCAGCGCCGCACCTTCAGGGACACTACCGGATGCCAGGTCGATCAGGACTCTAACCTGCCCTTGGCCTCACACCGGCTCCCCGCACATCCTTACTACCTCTAGTGTGCTCACTTTAACAGAACGAGGCCCTGCCTGAGTTGAGCTACTCGGCTTCACGGTCGGAACGAGTTATCTGGCCAGCTAAGTGAGAGGCATGCGTTCAAAATGACAAGAGGGCCTCCAAGGATGTGGTCCTTAATCGGCACAAACGGAATCAAATGAGTCAACCTACACATAGACTTCGTCCGACCTCTAGTTATATTATCCCATGGTTCTTAGCATACGTACTCTCCCTCTCTCACTTGTAAGCATACGTACTCTCCCTCTCTCACTTGTAACAAGACTTAGCAACAAGACTTAGCATACGTACTCTCCCTCTCTCACTTAGCATACGTACTCTTCCTCTCTCACTTGTAAGGCCACCCCTTCATCTATAAAAGGGGATGCGCTCTCTCCCAAAAAAAGATCGATCAGTTCACCTACATCGATTCAACACACAACAACAGAACCGCCAGGTTCAGACCTCGAGCACATGCTCGAACACTTAGCACATAGCGGAGCTCCCATCACTCTCGGCCCTTCAGACTAGAGTCTGACCGGACCTCTTATACCCTCCATCTTTCTCCCTTCCGTTTGTAACCCCACAAGAAACTTTGAGCACCTGGGCTCAGGAATAAAGTCACTGACCGACTCAAACTGGACATAGGGCACGTTGCCTGAACCAGTATAAACCCTGTGTCATTGAGTGCTAGGCCACCTCTGATCACAACATACAGCAAAACTACAAATATTTATGTGTTGGTCACTTTCTGCACCGACACATATACTCTGTAAGAGTCATGGTCC